AAAGGGATTAATAATGATTGTTCTTCTGCATTTAATGTTAAAAAACAGATTTTTATAAGCCTTTCATCAAGAAATTTAGACTTTGGCTCACTCCATAATATTGGTACAATAATTCTACACCATTGACGGTTTACAAGAAGGCATGAAAATAAATTTTTATCTATTCGAACATAATTAAATATTTCTAAAAAGCATTCGTTAGGTAAATTTATCATTTTTTCAAAAAATATATATCAACACTAACGTTTAGTGTAATATATATATACTGTAGTAAAAAAATTTTGTCGATCTTGTGTTTGATGTTCGTAACTGAACGGGGCATTGTGGTGTGCGACATTCTGTTGATATGTCAATCATAAGAAGTAACTTTAAATTTATTACAACTTTCGAAGAAACAATTGTACATTGGCAAAAATTATACTTTTCAGGTTACAGCACGATTCCTCGAAAACTATTTACCCGACATCACTTGAGGTGAAAATTTTCAAATAAAATATACCTAGAGCTAACTAAATGCTAAACTGTCATCCTATGTGATATCGGGTAAATGGACTGTTGGGTAAGTAGTTTTCGGGGAATTGAGCGACAACCTACTTTTCAACGTTCTCTTTAATGATATCCCTTTTCATAATTTATAAAAGTTAAGGCAAAAAATGAATCATAAAATTGAATAATGTTTAAGAAAAAAATGATATAAAAGCGCTACATTACTTAAAGAGAATGTTGAAAGGATTCAAATAAGTACTGGCCAATTTACTATGAAGCCCTAAAAACGTTGTGTTACTAGCGCTAGGTTTATCGCTTGATCAAATTTGTAGATCGCTGCGAAATTTCGAAAATTTCGAGAATTTTGAAAATTTGACAAATCATGAAAATTAGATAAATTTCGGAAAACTAAGAAATTTGGAAAATTTACGAATTTCTATAAATTTGAGAAATTTGGGTAGTTTAGTTAATTTACGAATTTTTGTAAATTTAAGAAATTTTTGAAATTTATTGTATATGTAAAAATATGTATATAAGCGCTCACCTTTGGTCTCAATAAAGGCAGACTCTTGGAGCTCTAAACTTCGAAAACAATAAAAGTAGAAGTATCCAAGTCTAAAAATTTCCCTTGTTCATAAAAATCGTCCTTATTATAAATTTATTATAAACTACCTTGAGAATTGTTTCGCTGAAATCGTTATATTAGTTGTGTTGAAACAGTGAATTTTCTTTTCGCTACAACCAGTTTTTAGTAGTTAGAGTAGAAGTGCCCAATTTGTCATATCACTTCCTCTTTTATTGTATTTTGAATTGATTAAATAATTGATCAATATCGTAATTGTTAAAATAAACCCACCTTGAACCCTCGTGATACCTAAGTTATAACCCAAATCGTGACCAAATTGTGATTAAAACATGATATCCCGATAACGTGACCAAGTTCAATAACATCCGAAAAGAAGACCAGTATAAACCCAATATAATCCCAAGACCCAATTCAATAACCAACAACTCACCCAAGTAACCCTAAACTCAAACCAAGTTAATCCTCGCCTCTTTCAAGCCTTTCCAACTTGGGGTTACGCTTTAGTCGGATTTTTGGATTATTTGGATAGTTAGATTAGATTAGTTAGTCTCGAACCTCTGTGTAACCAGACCTCCGGACGAGTTCTAACCTAGAACCAATTAACACTTTTTCAACAGTACGTGATTTTATGTGATTTCTCGACAATAATCTGATCAAAATTCGATAAAAATTTTTTTATTTGAATTTAATGAATCTATTAAATTCAAATAAAAGAATTTGATCAGATGGTTGCTGAGATATAATCGCTCAAAGTTTTTTTTTGGGATATCTTTGCTAAAAATAACATCAAAAATCAAAGCTAGGCTAAATTTTCCCTAAAACTTGCGCAAAGATATCTCAACAACTATCCGACTAAATTTAAATTTAATGAATTTTTTTTTATTTGAATTATATTAATCCATAGAATTCAAATAAAAAAAAATTCATCGAATTTGATTATGTGGTTGCTGAGATATATTCGCTCAAACTTTTAGGAAAAATTTGGCGCAGCTTCTATTTTGATATTTTTAATAAACTTTGAGCAAATATATCACATCAACCACTTGATCAAATTCGATGAATTTTTTTATTTGAGTTCTATGGATTCATAGAATTTAAATAAAAAAAATTTCATCAAATTTATTCGGATATAATGTTCCGGTCGGGTCAACCCGAAAAAAAACCTGACCTGAAAGTTTGGGTCGGGTTCGGGTCAAGAAAAATTGACCCGAAAATTTTCAGGTCGGGTTCGGGTTAAGGGTCAACCCGACCTGAACTTGACCCGAAAATTACTAATAATAAGGCAGGTCAGTATTAAATTAATTTTGGCTAGCATTAAGTTTAATTTTGGCCAGCTTTAAAATTAATTTTGGCCAGTACTAAAATTAATTTTGGCCAGCATTAAGATTAATTTTGCCTAGTATTAAGATTAATTTCGTGCTAGTATTAAGTTAATTAAAATTTAACTTATATGGAGTGTTGTCAATTAAAAGGGACCATTTTTACATTTTTAAAAAAATTGAGTTTTTATTAGATTCATGTAAATTTTGACATGATTGATATTTTTTAATTATAAATGAAAGTCGATTTGCATTTTAAAAAATAGAAGCAAAATTACACGAGGCTAAGCATATTACGAGATTTCTCGATAGTCACCTGTTACATTTAACCAATCAAAATTGCGAAATTTGGTTAATCCCGGATCAGTCCGAAAATCAAAACAATTATCTGTTACCATATATGGTTTTGATTTACTTAGTCCCCAATGTGATGTGTGTCTATATTTGTATTTTAATGGTAACAAAAATACGTAACGATAATCATAAGATATCAGATATTCAGCTATATATCGCTAATCAGAACTTTCAAATTTTAAAGACATTACGTGTTAAACTTATAAAGCTATAAAACTGTCGCTAATAATTTATATATAATTATAATAAGATGCCAATAAATCTACTCTCGAAAGAAATTATACAAGAAGTTACTAGAGATTTGTCAATAAATAATTTATTTTCATATTTATTGGTAAATAGAGCATAGTATAAAATCGTCGTCCAAATCTTATGGGAAAATCCGTATCCAATTTCAATGCTTTACTCACGAAGAAAACCAGCTTTTAAAGAGCAATGGTATACCCGCACCTCTTAGATATCCTCCAGCCTTTGATTATCCTGCAAAATTAGAATTAGTTGTGGCTACAGAAGAGACAAATTCGTGAAAAAGAAAATGCAATAGTTTTTTTAAACAAAGCTTTACAAAAACTTTATTTTAAAAATTCTCAAAAACTTGATGAGATCTTTATTGATGGAAATTCGCAAAATACTGGAAAACGGCAGCAAAGTTTTTAAAACCTGAAAATTTTTAGAATATTGGCTCATTCTAATGCATTTTTACAAAAAATTATAAATGCATCATGTACTAGTATTAAGCAAATATATGTTTACATTGGTGACAAAGATCAAATTTGTGGTAAACTTCTTGCACAAATAATTATGACTCAACGAGCATTAGAATATGCAGAAATTCACACATACAACCAAATCCTTAACCCTATAATTCAAGCACTGAAAGTATAATCAAAAACATTAAAACATCTAATTTTTGATATTGTTAACTTTACAACTCTTTGAAGAATTATTTGAGTCGTTAGAATCACTTGAATTTCAAAGTTGTATGTTAAATATTGAAAATTTTCAGGAAAACTGTTTTAGTATGCAAAAACTTCAACAATTTACTTACATTAATTACGAATTGATTGACGGAAGAGTATTTAATTTTTTGGTCAAATTATTAAAATCCACTACTAGTTTAAAATATCTCAACTTATTCTATTGGCAACAATCTATACCACTAGATGATGACCTGGTTAGCGAAATAATCAATTTTTGTTCACAACTTAAATATTTAGGATTACCAGTATTGGGAATAACTGACATTATGAAGATCACAAAATCATGTCATAGGTTAAAGTACCTTTATATTAGAACAAAAATATTGTTAGATAACTTCACATTTTTACAACTAGCCAGAAGTTTACCTTCAGATTTGCAAGATTTAATTATTGATAACTCTAATTATCAGTTTGATGTATTAGAATTGGATCAAATAGCATTTGATATACGGATGTATAAGAGTCTTCTTAAAACGATGAATTGTAAAAGGTTGAAAACCTTGTTTATTTAAAATCAATTCTCATCTGAAGAGTTATCAGATTTTGAGAGTATAATGTTAAATGGAATTGGAATTAATGTTCAAAAATTTAATTATGCTGTGATATTTTTTTTTTTTTGTTTACAATATCGTCTATTTGAGGTAAAATGAATAAAGAACTTTTTAGTCAAACATATAATAAGAAGTTAAATTGATGTTAAATTTATATCAGATATGGTCTTATTTTCAAGATAGAAGAATAATATTTAGAAAAGAATTTTAATAAATAAAACTTGGCTTTATTATTTAAATATGAAAATTCAAAATTTTCAAATTTATGATAAATGAATATTCAAAATTCATCGATTTCAATCTTTACTGAAACAAGTTAAATTTATCCAAAACAAATTTAACATAACTTATATATACAACTAAAAGTAATACAATGATTCAAACCAAAGAAATTCCAACAAACTGTCATTACAGCCCATTATATAAAATGATATCTTATACTAGACGTCGTGGTGGTCAACAAACTTATAACCTTGAAATAAATGTTTAACGTTAATACCGCTTAATTTTTTTTGGTATCATAATCGTTAAATATCGATTTGTCGGATTATGATTACAAAATGACTTAAACTATTTTACAATAGAATTAACACGATGTATAACATTATAAAACGATTTGTTTCTATCATTGGGTATTACTGTATATCGATATGTTATGTCTGCCTCTGGGGTTTTTTATTGTCTGGACTTTCCACTCAGCCTTGTTACATTACATTTTTTACAACATATTTCAGAGTCTATAGCTCTTAGCCTTGTTTCACTTAGCCTCATTGCCAATTCAAGATAGCATTATATTTCAAGTAACATTCTCAACAATATTTATTCTATCAATCCCTCTTTCATCACAGCTATCATTGATTGATACTGTATTCAGACCTCATTCTATTAAATATGAAAAACATTATTGCATTCAAATCTAAAGTTACTGTATTTAGTGCATCATTCTCCTTAACCAGTATTTGTTACTTTGTATGTGCTGACTACAAAACCAACATACTTTTATGACCTCTAGATTTTAAAGTAAGTATAAATTATGTAATCTGTTGTTTCCTCAATCTTATTATACCAGGAACAGAGTGATGAAATCATGAATATGGTTTAGTTATAGTGTTCGTAATGAGCTTTACAAATGGAATAAAATCATGGGAGATGAATATGATAGTGATGATGATGCTAAAAAGCAATTCTTAGATGCTGACAAAATGATCGAAAAATTGCCAATTATATCACCAAAACACTCGAATTCTATGCACACGAGCAAAATTATTAGCATACAAAAAATATCGAATGCAATTAAAGGTATTTTTTTTTTAGCTAATGTATTATTTAAAATTAAGGCAATTTTACAATCAACTTTCGAATTTTCCAAAACATTCAGAATTAACAACTGCAGGTATACATTCGTATTAATCAGTCTTAATTTGTATTTTAATGTACAGTACATAGTGGTACTCAATATGACTGAATCCACTTTATAGAGACTTTATCAGTTATATAAAGTAAGCCTCGGTTAGATATGAATTGTTGTTAATTTTTGTTAAATTGAGTATCGAGTCCCACAACGTATTTGTAAATAATAAAAAAGTCTAATCAGCTAAATTAAATTTACATCCGGAAAATGTGTACTAGGTTGGTGCGCCATAGTTGAATAATATTAGATTTTTCAGAGATCCTTGTCGGAATGATTTTAAATATGTTTTTAATTATATTGTCATTTTATCGTAAAAATGCAGCGAGTACAGAGATATAAAACAATTTATTATAGGTTAGATTATGTGAAACTTAAAATTTTCGTTTTATGCACGTACATAAATAAATATAACTGAAAAAACATTTATATTCATAAATCCGAATCATTATGATAAAATTTGTAATTTTTTCTGTTTCAATAAAATTCTCAAT